AGCAGTGGGTTAGTGACAGAAGAGGCCATGAGGAATGCTTTAGCCTGTTAAAAGTTATTTATTAGAGTCTAATCTATATTGACAATAGCAAGAGTAAAATATAAAATGGCTGGAGTAAAGTCACTAAAATAGGATATCAGAGGTGAAGGACGTGCTGACAACCACAGAATCCTCTCTCTGCCTTTGACTCACTGTATAGGAGATATCATAGGCATAGTCCTTCATCTCCTTACACTCTAAGAAATAATCTTTTCAGTTGTTTCTACTGCCAGGAAAAGGTTTGATGACTCATCAGGAGAGGAGGAAAAGGGGAAAAGCATGATTTGCATAACCTGATGAAATTGCAAAACATTTCTTCTTAGGAAATATGTGCCATTCTTTTAAACCCCAGATCCTCAGAAAGGTAACTGCACTTAAGGCTCAATCTTGAAACTCCCAAGTTCAGTTACAGAAGTCCCACTCATTTCACTGTGCAAGACTGGGACTGCAGAGCCACAGGCCTCCTGGAGGTGTGTGCTGTCAAGTACTTGGGATACCACAGTTAAGAAAAAGATTCTGTTTTACACTGCATTACACTGTCAAGTTATCCAGAGAGAAGCTACAGGACTAATTCAACAACAAAGAAGAACAAAGCTTTGTCCCAGTGGTTCCAGCATGCATTCTCTAAAGGACACTGGTAAGTAGGAGAATTAAAGATAAAAAGAAGTCCAAAAGCTGATCAGTGGATAATAAAATGGTTCTTCCCCAAGAAACCTACTTCCACTAGAAGAATAGTCTCTCAAAGGCACAAAAGTTCCACAGGTTTTCAAATTAGTATTACTGGACAGTGATGAAAAATAAATAACTTGCAACCTTCCATAAGAAGATTGTAAAGCAAAACACTTTTATTGGAGTTTTCTGCATACACAGTGATACCATGCAGCACCTTACAAAGCATATCATTGCAGAAACTTTCCAAATATTATGTATAAGTAGCATAAACAACGATTATGGAATCAAGTTTGGCTTTCATAACAAGTTCACTTGAACAGCACCTTCATTCTGGGCAATGATATTTCTTTGAGACTAGCAGCATGTCACAAAAGACACTGGAATAAGTTGCTCTAATTCCCCATCTAAGGGCATTCTTCCAGCAAGCAGTCTTAGACACACAGTTCTCAAACTACTGGAAGTGAGCAGTGAATTGCAGTCTCAAAGGCAAACACCTGCCAAACAACCCATGATGTCTTCTAAACAGGTCACAGACCCTGAAACTACCTTCCTGCTGGGGCTTGTTGCTGCACAGTGCAGAGAGCAGACAGAATCCAAGAGGTGGTTTCCAGCTCTCTAGACCATACCTAGCATTGCTGATGTGACTTGTTTCCTGAGAAATCAGCAGAATTACCCACAGTGGGAGAAAACTGCTATCAATCAGTCAAGCTCTGTAGGATTTTGAACTCCAGATACAACTGATCTTTATGTTCTAAGTCTCTTCTCTCCAGTTTCTCTTTTTCTCACCCAAACATACAAAACACTTTTAATTCACAAAATACATAATTCTCCAGGCCTGCTTTCAAATAAAGATAGGATTCTGTGGACCAATGTATGTATTCATATTATTTTCTCTAATAAAGGGTAGTATCAGCAGGCATCTTTCACCAGTTTCAGCAAACACCTGTGGATAACAGTGGAGCTGTATCTCTGCTGCACCAGAAAGAGAACAGAAGCACTTGCTTTGAGACAATTTGCACCCTGCTCTTTACAAAGAAAAAGATGAAAAAAACTGAATTCCTGCTCTCTTTGTGAGGTCTCTAGCAAGGCTGACTTGTACCAAAAATCTATGGGGATGGAGAAGGGCTGGTTCTTGGTGCCACAAATGCCTGAGACTTTGCCCTGTATCTGACCCAAAAGTAAGACAATCTGAGATTTTGGACAAGAGACCGATCTTCTACCTGCAAAACATAGGTACTAACACCTGTCTGTGTGTAGAAAAGGGAGAATTTAACTCCTAGAAACCACTCTGAAAGTGAGCAATACAAAATTAGTATCAAAAGCAGTGGGCCTGGCCTTCTGATCCAGCTGAGAAGAAGCACATCTCCTTCCTGCATCCACTGACACACATCAACTCCAGAAAAGAAGAGAAATGAGGGGAGATAACTCCCACAACTTCATGAGGTAGCTTTCAACAACCAGAATTGTGGCTGAAGCCCTGGGTTTATACGTCTTTGAAAACTGGAGTATGGGTGGATAATAAAAATGTGCATTTATTGACAAGTTTGCATCCATGATCCATACACTTTTTATACACTAAGAATAATCTTAAGCTGCATTTCAGACCAGGTATTAAAGGTGACAGAGGGTGAAGAAGTGACTTGCCTTGAAAGAGGTATCATTGCTGCTCTGATCTCTGAGCTAAGCAGCTCAGACTCTGCAGAGCTGTCTTAGCTTTCCTGAAGAGCCAGAAGTGACCCCACAGATCATCCTGTCCTGAAGAAAGGCAAGTTGGAAGAAGCTGCTCAGTGACCTGTCAGGTTTACAGATCCCATCTGCCTTGCTTAAACCAACTGTTACAGAATAATAAGCCAGTTTTTGGCTCTCTGATCTAGGGAATTTCCCACTTCAACATGCTTATGTGTGGGAGCCCATTTACTGAAAAAAAAAGAGCAAGGACTACGTGCTGACAAAAAGGTACTGGGTCTTTCCAGGATCCTGTTGAGATCCCATCATTTCACAGGTACACAAATGTTTGGTGCAAAGACACACAAGCTCTGGTTTTACTCCTCAGGACTCTCTCCCCACTTTTGCTAGGAAAAGTATTGGGTGTTTTGTATTTATTTAGGGTTTTTTTTTCTTATCCTGATTCTTCTCAGGGCATTGTGCCATTTCATGCAGAAA